CTACCTCCCCCCTACCATGGGCCTGGGGTAACTATACTAATTTACTATATACTTTCCAGTATTCTTACACCTTACTCCTCAACATGTACTCTTTGATCCAGGACACAGGCCTCCTGGCTGTTTCATGAACAAGACACTCCATCTCTCAGCTCTGGGCATTTTCTCTAGCTATCCCCCATGCCTTCTCTCCTCCAACTACTAGTCTCTCTGGTTTTCTTTAAGTCTTAACTAAAATCCCCCCTTCTACAGGAAGCCTTCCCCATCCCCTCTTAATTCTAGTGCTTTCCCTCTCTTAATTATTTCCTATTTTTTCTGCATATAGCTTGATTTGTATATATTTGTTTGCATGTTATTTCGCCCATTAGACTGTAAGCTCCATGAGGTATAGACTGTCTTTTGCCTCTTTTTCTATGCCCAGTACATAGCACAGTGTCTGGCACATAGTAGGTGTTTAATAGATGTTTAATGAATTGAATCGAATTATCCTAGGGAAGGCTCTTTTTACATGGAAGGAATATATAAAAACAATGACAAATCATATTTCTAGAGTGCTTAAGGATTTACAAGGCACTTTCCTCAGAACGATCTTGAATTAGACATAGAGCAAATGCCACTTTACAATGAGTGAACTGAAGCTCTCAGAGTTTAACAACTTGCTTACTTGGTCACACAACAAGTAAATGTCAATGGGAATTCAAATCCAATACTCTTTTTCTTACAAGAAATATCCTACCAAATTTCTTGTACTTTGATCTTAATGATCCTTAAGTTTGCAAAGCATTTTTTTACAGATGATCCCATGTGATCCGTACAATATCCCCATGAGGTTAAGTACCACAGGCATTATCACCTCCATTTTATAGAAGAGGAAAATGAGGCTCAGAAAGGTAAAGGGACTTGCTCATAGTCACCCAACTAGCACAGGTCAGAGGCAAGAGTTGAAAACAAATAACTTAACTCCAGGTCTGGCATCCTTTCCACTAGACAAACTGTGTGCCGGTCGGGCTGTGCACTCTCCTTCTAACAGGAGCAGGCTGCCAGGGTCATACTCACCAGTCCTCGGAGCCCACCCGGATAAACATAGAGATGAGCCGATCAGGAGGTGCAAGCACTGGAACTTTATTCAGAGACCATCACGGAAAGGCCAAGCAGGAAAGCAAGAGCAGGAGCAAGAGAGCGAGCTCTGACCCCTACAGCCCCTTATATACCTTCCTAGCCCGTCCTCCTCAGCCCGCCTACTAGTGATTGATTGTAGGATCAGATACCGGAAGGGGATGTCTGGGGTTAGCACTGCACCAAGGGAGAGGACGTGACAAAGGAAGCTAGGCCTAGATACCAAAAGGAGGCATCTGGGGTTAGTGCTGCACCTAGGGAGAGGACTAGACAAAGGAAGCTAGGCCCGGATACCGGAAGGAGGCATCTGGGGTTAGCGCTGCACCTAGGGAGAGGACTAGACAAAGGGAGCTCGTTCTCTGCCGTCCCACTCCCACGTGGCACAGCCCCCTGCCTCAGGAGCACATGCTCAGGCTACTTCCCCGTATCCTGTTCCTACCCCAGTTCACCACAACTCCACGTGGCACAGCCCCCTGCCTCGGGAGCGTAAGCTCCGGTTACTTCCTAATATCCTGTCCCTGCCCCATCTTGCCACAACCCCCACATGGCATGTTGCCAACATCAGACAATCCCTCACAATTCCCCCTTTTTGTTTAATCAAGGGGGTGGAGACGGGTCTACAGACTAGGGCCTCGACCTAGTCCCAGAGGACCCAGGCCAAGACCTAGGGACCTTGAAGGTTGTACTAGAAGAGGGTAAGCTCTGGCAGGGTTTATCACACTGGAAAAGCTTTAGGTATGGCTCTGGCAATAGAATTAGTCTGTTTTCACAGGATTAACTTAGATAAGTACAGAGAAGTCTATCACCAACAGACTGGGTAGTTGGTATGAGTTTTTTGTGTCCTTTTTTTTTAGCCATGGCAACTCAAAAGGCAGAATAAAATATAAAATGGCCCTAAATCCTATGTGGACCCAGCCTACTTCTTCAGTGATCGTGGCAGTAGTGGGAAAGGGGATAAAGGATGTTCATCTCACAAGCAGGCTCTGGATCACTCTCCTAGATTTTGGTCAGATGAAGGAATTTCAGAGTTTTAGCAGCTGGGTGATGGCAAGATCAAGGGTATTACTATCTTTCTATGTGGATGAGATTAAATAGAGGAGTAAGTCAAGATAAGAGAGTAGATTGAGAAACTGAGTGATTGGGATGTCTAAGGGAGTGTCAATATGTATGCTGAAGTCCCTCAGTGTGAGGGCAGGAGTTGAGGAAGAGATTGTGAGCCAGGTACTGAACTCATGGAGGTTTGTAGGCAACAGCTACAAGGATTTTGATTGGGTGGAAGATGTCGATTGGATGGTTCTTAAAAGAGGAGAGCTTACTGAGAGGAAAGGGAAAAATAGGAATACTTCCTATTTCTATCACCAGAGAGAATGAATGGAGTGGGTACTAGTGTGGAGAAGTTATGAGGAATGGAGTAATAAGCTGAGGGAGTTCTTCATGCCTCTTCTCCACTTTTAGGTACTTTTAACCTCAATGAAGTAGAAGACTGGATCATCTGCTATAGGATATAGTGGAAATTATAAGGAGTTAATAGAGTGGCTCTAAGTTTTCCCTTAGATTGCACTAAAATCTGTCTATAACCATGGACACCTTTACCCTGTTGATTTGTTGATCCTGTTTCTGATTTTTGGGTCAAACAGAATAAAACAATAGATCTCTCTTCACCATGACAAAACTGCATTAATCCTTACAAGCTCTTGGCACTTACTCTGAAAGTCAGTCAATAATTATTTGTTATGCCTTACTGTGTGCCGGGTACTGCAGGTACAAAGAAAGGTAAAAAGACAGTCTTTGACCCCCAGGGTACTTGCTAATTGGGGAGACATGTAAATAACTAGGTATATAAAAGATATATAGAGTAGTTGTAAGGTACCCCGAGGGGGGAAGGCTTTAGCATTTGAGGTGGGGAATACAGTAAAGGCCTCCAGAAGGTGAGACTTTCACTGAAACATGAAGAAAGCCAGGAAAACCAAGAAGCAGAGTGAGGGTGCAGGTCACTGGGGACTGGGAGAGGAACCATACAGTTTGAGGAACTACAAGTTAGGCCTGCGGTGATGGGAAGCAGAGTTTGTGGAAGACAGTAAGGTGTGAAAAGACTGGAAAGGTAGGAAAGGGGTGAGGTTTTGAAACAAGGTTAACTCAGTACCCTTTAATGGTAGTAGACCTTATACCTACTTATGGTTTCTATTCACAGACTCAGGGTGAAAGAGCAAGGGTATATTCAGTGAGGATAAAGTAATTGGGTAGTTTTCTCTAATTCACTACAGTTAAGGCTAATGAGTAGCAATCTGCTACTCCTGTGTTTCTGCTTAATCCAGACTGTGCTTAAAATGTTTGTTTAAACCCAATTAGCATAAACCCACTAGACTTCTGTATGAGAAGTGTAATAAATGGGAACACACTCTATCCTGAAATGCAATTCTCTCCTGCTTATTATTATTTTGGAACCTTAGATTCAAAGCCACCCTCCCTCCCTTTCTGGCTCCCATTTATGTGCTGGTTTCTCTGATTAGAATATAAACTCCTTGAGGGCAAGGACTGTCAAGCCTACTTGTATTTTTTTTTCCCCCAGTGCCTGGCACATAGTAAGAGCTTAAATGATGTATCACTTCGAAAGATTTAAGAATTATAAACATAAAGACCAATCACAGATTCCAAAGGCCTTTTTATGAAACATACTACTCACCTCCTAATAGAGAGGTGACAGATTTAAGAGTGCAGGTTGAGATTTTTTTTGGAAGTGGCCAATGCGGGCATTTATTCTGCTCGACCACAGGTGTTTGTTACAGGGGTTTCATTTTTCTTACTTTCTAAATTGGAGGAGGGAGTGGTGGGATGGAGTGAAGGTTTATTTTTCGCCAACTGAAAAAATAAAAATAAAACCACCACCGTTGATTGAAAAAAAAAAGGGTCAAATTTTATAAAACAACCAAAAATGATTTATCTATTGAAAATATTTCATTGTTAATACTATTTCACCCGAATCGCCCCCATCACCTCTCCCTTTTAAAAACTAGGTTACTATGATCTTAAGGATCAAGCTTCCCTTTCTTAAAACATTTGTATTTTTTTAAAACTCAAACAACGAGAAAAGGGAATGCTCCGTCTTGGCCACCGCGGCTGCCACGGCCACGTCCCAGGTCCCGGTCTCATTCCCCGCACAGACACGGGAGAACGTGCGGCATTAGGGAGAAGGGCTGCTTCCCGAGGAGCGCAGGGAGAAGAAAAGACCGCGGCGCGGAGCCCACGAGGGTAAGCAGGCAAGCCCGGGGCCGCCCTTCCTCAACTCCCGACCTTGCGCTAACGCGGGGCGGCGGAGCCACCGACACACCAGCGGCTCCGCCGCCGCAGCCACCACGCTCCCAAGTGCCGGGAGCCCCAGCGGTGGACGAGAAGCGCCCGCCCTCTCGCGAGAAAGGGGCGTCGGCGGAAACCGGGAAAAGGGCGCCCCCTCCCAATCGCCCGGAGCTGTCCAACTGGGCGGGGCCCAAGGTAAACCCGCCCCTTCCGATTCTTCTCTTCCCCCCCACTCTCCCCTCCGCTGTCGCTCGCACAGACTTGGGCTTGGTGGGTCGGGGTGTGAGGTGTTTGCGGGCGCTCCGGCCGGGGCCTCCCTCGTGGCGGTTCTCTTCAGGAGGTGAGCCTTAGTCCGGGAGAAGGCTCCTGGAGCAGGCGGGGAGAAGGGGGCCAGGGAAGGAGGGCGGGGCGGGTCTGCCCTTCGCGGCCCCGCCCCTTTCTCTCGGCTCCTGCTCTCCATCCCTGCCGCCTGCCTGGGGGCTCTGAGGTCAGGTCCCCCGGGCGGCGGGGTCCCACCGAGGTGCTCTCGCCCTGCGGCCGCCTTTGTCCCGCCGCCGCCTCACCGACCTGCCCGCCCCCGCCCCCACCCGCTTCCCGCCAGCTTCTGAGCCGGGAGGATGGTGGGATTCGGGGCCAACCGGCGGGCCGGGCGCCTGCCCTCCCTGGTGCTGCTGGGGCTGCTGGTGGTGATCGCAATCCTCGCCTTCAACTACTTGAGGGTCTCCTCCCGCCACGTCCTGCTTCAGGAGGAGATGCTGGAGCTGCAGAGCCAGGTGCAGAGGACCGAGGTCGCCCGCAGTCACCTGGAGAAGCGCAACTCGGACCTCCTGCTGCTGGTGGACTCGCACAAGAAGCAGATGGACCAGAAGGAGGCCGACTACGGCCTCCTCAGCAGCCGGCTGCAGGCCAGGGAAGGCCAGGGGAAGAGATGTGAAGATGACAAGGTAAGGGCGACCCTCTCTTCCATTCTCCGCCCCCCCCCCCCAACTCCAGGCCCTTTCCCTCGGCCCAGGGGAATGGATGCTGTTAGCTTACTAGCACCCCAGAGGCTCCCTTATGCTCCCACAAATTCCTTGCTTCTGACATTTAAAGCCCATCCCTCATTCACTTTCATCTTCCATCACCTAGCCCCTGCTGGACTGTGTCAGGTAAGTATAGTTCCTGTTGGGATTGGCTTGTATGGATGGGGAAGGACCGCTCCCTCCCACCTTTTTCTTCAAGCTCAGCTGCTGAGCTGGCAGTAGCAATCATCAGGCTTATGTGGCAGCATCACACTCGCAAACACATAAATCTAGGGACTGCCAAGATTTGGTATGGTTATTATTGCTATCATCCCTATCCTGTACACCCTAAAAAAGGTTTCTTTTCCTTCGTTTTTTCTTTTTTAAAAACAAACAAACAAACAAACAAAAAAACAGTTGCACCTTTTCAGACTCAGCCTACCCACAGGAGTTATACAAGACTTATCCTTTAAGTAATAATTATTTCCACAGAACTATATGTTGGTGATTTCCAAATGTTACCTGTTCTTTGAGTCAATTTATATTATCAGAACCTAACATGACCTGGACATATTTGTTCCATATCTATCTAACTTATGTTATATTACAGATTGGTGGCTAAGTTTGCATAGAAGGTAGGACATAAAGATATAAGTACCTAGCTTAACATTTTATGAAAAGTGTTTCTCCGTGAGATTTTTTGGGGGGAGTGGGGAAGTAAAACATAATTTCTATTCCGTTCTCTAGGTTTTATATTTTATTCAGAAAGTGATAAATGACTTCAGATCAAAAATATTTAAAACCACTTTATCAATCTGCTAGTTTTTATGTTTTCATGTAGCAGAAATCCATAGCTGAAATAAATGTTCTTTATGAGCTCATTTTTGCTCATCACCTTAATTTGTACATCCTTGATATTTTTATGTACCCTTTGCCAACCACAAGTTATACTTGTAATGTTACATCAAAACCTTATTAGGTATGTCATTTTCCTAGATTTAATATTTCTTTTTAGACCAGCATGTGTTTCCCAGCCTTCTCTTCACCACAGGACTTGACCTCTTGTAACATTAAGAGTGAGGTCCTCATACACCTGCTTCATGAAAACCTACCACTGTTTATATCATGGGATCATATATTTAGAATGAGAAGAGATCTTAAATGTCTTCTAGTTCCACTATTTTGATTTTAACAACTTGAGGAAACAGACCTGGACAGGTGACTTTTCTAAGGTCACACATATTATATCAGAGTCAGGATTTTCATCTGTATATTCTGACTCCGAATCCAATGTTCTTTCCCCTGTACCATGCTTTCTGCGGTCTCAAGGGAAGAGCTACCTCTTCCTTCAAAAGCAAATCATTGTACCTCTATTTTGCGTCTCATTCCATCTTTCTTTCCATGGTCATCTTCTCTTTTTCTAGAATCATTGATAAGAATATCTATCTCTGTCTCTGTTTTTCCCCTCTTCTGCCTTCACACATTAGCACAGCTTTCTCATCTCCCAGAAAGAGCTTGCATTAGACTCTGCAACCTATTGTCCAACTTCTCTCCTTCCTACATACTTTGTATTTTTCTCCTACCAAAAGTCCTCCCTGTGGCTTACAACAACTGCCTCTACTTCCTTGGCCTCCATTCTCATCTTAATCCCTAGTAATGCATATTCTGTCCTTCCACTGTACTAAAATTATTTTCTTGAAGGTCACCAGTGACCTCCTCCTGAACAAATTCAAAGACCTTTTCTTAATTTTCATTCTATCTCATCTCTCTATATGGCATTTGATACCATTGTCATTTGCTTCTTAAAACTATCTCCTCCCTTTCAATGACATTTGTCTCCTAGTGGGTGTACTCACACTTCTCCAACTTGTTCCTTTTTGTTTTCTTGGTAATCTGTCTCTTCCTGTCCTCTGGAAATAAGCTTTGTTTTTAGCCCTCTTTTAGCTTTAGACCTGTGCTCCTAGCTAAACGTTCTAATGGTTTCACCTACTATTTTTGTGCTGATAACTGAAATTTCAGATTTGGAAGGGATCTCAGAGGTCATTTAGTCCAACTCATGCCTTCTCTAACAAATACGCATCTGTTACCTGCTTAAAGACTTCCATTAATAGGGAAGCCTATTCTCTCCTCAGACAGCCCATTTAACTTTTGAACAGCTCTAATTATTAAGTGGTTGAGCTTCTTTTGCAATATGCTTTTTTGCAACTTTTGCCCATTGCCCCAAGTTCTGCCATCGAAAGAATGAGTAAAACAAGTCTCACTATGCTATGTGACAATCTTTCAACTATTTGAAGGCACTCATCATGTCCCCTTGGAGTCTTTTCTTCTCCAACCCAGGTATTCTTAGTTCTTCCTTTGTATGGAATGTTTTCTAGTCTCATCATCACCCTCGTTTCCCTCCTCTACACCAAGGTGTAAATATCTTTCCTAAACTGTAGTAAATAGAAGTTAATATAGTTGTCTGGATGTGGTCTGAACAGGATAGAATATGGCAGGACCGTCACTTCTTTAATTCTAAACATTGTCTCTCCATTAATGAAGTCTAAGAATATTACCAACAGTGACCTGAGTGTTTGTTTCAGGGGTTTCTTTTTTTTCCCCTAGAGTGTGAGGTAGTGAGGGTAATAAGAAGAGTACAAAAGATATGTCAGAAAGATTCACAAACAGGACAGCTTTTAAAGTTACATGTTGAATTTATTAGTCATTTGAGGCTAAGATCAAATGTATATATTTAAAAAGAAAAGCAAACTCTACAATAATAGAGATTTGCAGTCTCTTGTACAATTCTCTCCTGTTTTACAATCTGTATAGAAATGCTCATTTTAACTGGTATTTTTTAAGTTCAGAATTAAAAAAAAAACAAAAAATGAATACTGAATAATATAACTAGAGTGCAAGAAATGGCACAAACAACATCAGGGACACATGACTAGAAAAGGAGGTGGTCTGGTTAGCTGGTTATATAGCGGAGTGAAAGGTTAGAGATAGACAAATGGAGTATTGCACTGGTATCTGTAAAACATTAAAAGAGCCAGAGTTAGAGTTGACCAGGGAGTCCAAACCCCTCATTTTATTTTTTTAATTAATAAATTTATTTATTTTTAGTTTTCAACATTTACTTCCACAAGATTTAAGTTCCAAAATTTCACCCCATCTCATCTCTCCCCCACTCCAAGATGGCATGAATTCTGAATACCCCTTCCCCTAGTCTGCCTTCCCTTCTGTCTCTTCCCCCTTCTCTTATCCCCTTCCCCTTCTATTTTCCTGTAGGGCAGGATAGATTTCTGCAACCCATTTCCATATTTCTTATTTCCCAGTTGCATGTGAAAACATTTTTTTTTAAACATGTGTTTTTAAAACTTTGGGTTCCAAATTTTCTCCCTTCCTCCCTCTGCACCCACCTTCATTGAAAAGGCAAGCAACTCAATACAGGTTATACATGTGCAGTTATGCAAAACACTTCCATAGTAGACATTCTGTGAAAAACTATCTATTTCCCTTAATCCTACCCCCCCATTTATTCTATTCTTTCTTTTGACCCTGTCCCTCCTCAGAAGTATTTGCTTCTGATTACCCTCTTTCCCAATCTGCCCTCCTCTCTATCATCTCCCTACTTTCTTGTCCCCTCCCCCCCATTTTTCTATACAGTAAGACAGATTTCCATACCCAATTGAGTGTGTGTTATTCCCTCCTTAAGTCAAATCCTATGAGAATAAGATTCACTCATTCCCTCTCACCTTCCCCTGTTTCCCCTCCAGTGTAAGAGCTTTTCTTTTCTGTTTTTTTGTGAGATAATTTACCCCATTCTACCTCTTCTTTTCTCCTTCTCCTAGTATAATCCTCTCTCACCCCTTCATTTTATTCTCCAGATATGACCCCTTCTTCTTCAATTCACCGTGTGCCCTCCATCTATCTATCTATCTATATACATACATATAATTTTTTTTCCCTCCAACTATCCTAATACTGACAAAGGTCTCATGAGTTACAAATATTATCTTTCCATGCAGGAATATAAACAGTTCAACCTTAATAAGTCGCTTATGATTTCTCTTTCCTGTTTACCTCTTCATGTTCCACTTGAGTCTTGTATCTGAAAGTCAAATTTTCTTTTCAGCTCTGGTCTTTTCATCAAGAATGCTTGAAAGTCCTCTATTTCACTGAATGACCATTTTTTCCCCTGAAGGATTATACTCAGTTTTGCTGGGTAGGTGATTCCTGGTTGTAATCCTATCTCCTTTGCCTTCCAGAATATTATATTCCATCTGGAATTTGGCTACAATATTCCTAGGAGTTTTCCTTTGGGGATCTCTTTCAAGAGGAGATCAGTGGATTCTTTCAATTTCTATTTTGCCCTCTGGTTCTAAAATATCAGGGCAGTTTTCCTTGATCATTTCTTGAAAGATGATGTCTAAGCTCTTTTTTTGATCATGGCTTTCAGATAGTCCAATAATTTTTAAATTCTCTCTCCTGGATCTATTTTCCAGGTCAGTTGTTTTTCCAATGAGATATTTCACATTGTTTTCTAATTTTTCATTCTTTTGGATTTGTTTTACAGTGTCTTGATTTCTCATAAAGTCACTAGCTTCCTATTGCTCTATTCTAATTTTTAAGGAAGTATTTTCTTCAGTAATCTTTTGGACTTCCTTTTCCATTTGGCCAATTTTGCTTTTTAGGGCATTCTTCTCCTCATTGGCTTTTTGGACCTCTTTGGCCATTTGGGTTAGGCTATTTTTTAAGGTGTTATTTTCTTCAGCATTTTTTGGGGTCTCCTTTAGCAAGCTGTTGACTTATTTTTCATGATTTTCTTGCATCACTCTCATTTCTCTTCCCAGTTTTTCCTCTACTTCTCTTACTTGCTTCTCAAAATCCCTTTTGAGCTCTTCCAAGGCCTAGGACTGATTCATATTTTTCTTGGAGGCTTTGGATGTAGGAGCTTTGAC